ACCTGGGATATCAGAATGGAATGGATAATAATGGACAGATTCAGGTAGGAACTCATCTGACCACTTTTGTTGTCTAAATAATCACCTGAAATGTAGGACAAGTGTCTTTATTACACTGAGTTTATCCAATCAATTAAGAATATTAAGAGGTAACACTAGGAGGTTTTTTTTTTTTCTTGATTAAAAATGTGGGCTTCTATGTGAGGGTATGTGGATATAAAAGTCATGACAAATGCAATAAGTGTACCTTTCCAAGCACAATGCTGAACACATAAAAGAAGCTCATTGAATCCTTAGTGAATCAGATATCCTTCTTCACTACATTTGTTAAAACTAGAGTAGACAGAAAAATCAGCCCCAAAAGAAGAGAGAGGTCTTCTGTCCATCCCAAATGACTCTATAGTGAATTCCTGAAAAAGGCAGTTGAGCAATGTGACGGGCATGATGTGGTATGAAATCAACAAGCTACGTTCTAAAATGCATTCCTCTTTTCTGGCACTCCTGGTCAGTTTTATTTCTGGACTGAGATACAGTGATCGTAATTCAAAGAATTAACTCAAAAACAAAAGAAACCAAAGTTTGCAAAACCCATCAGGTGTACACAAATAATTTATTCATGTGACTTCATTTAGCACAAGTTGCTCAAAATCAATGACATTCTGGTAAGTAATAATAGTTGAAGAAGTGATGTGACGAATAGGTCTGCAGATGAATAGGAATTATTTTAAAACCATAAAAAAGGAAAGATGTTCACACACAAAGAAAGAACGGGGGGCTGATGACGAATGGGCTAAATGCCTCTTTCCCAACATGTCTGGAAGATCCATGAAAGTCCTGAAGAGAATCCAATTTTTTGGAAAAAAGGAATGACACGGTAATTCATTCAGATACATAAAACAAAAACCTACTCAATCATATAGAACAAATTTAAAGAAATACCTACTACAAAAATGTCAATGGGATAATTAGTCTGAAAGAAAGAAACAGCTTGGGCCACTGCCTTGGGAAGAAGGCAGTACCCAATTCAGTGGGTACTGTAGGAAGGGTCACTGTCAGGAAGGCCCTTTGAGCTCAGATGACACTGTCTGAGGACACCGCATATCCCACCCAGATCACTTTGCCATGAAACACATTCATAACACAGGAAGAAGCGACAGGCACATAGGATGAAAAAAGATTGTGTTTTAGTAGCCAGGAGTTCTACTCAGACCCACTCAGGCAAATTTAATAGCAAAGATAATTTTTCCTTCAGGTCAACTCTTTGGTTCATTTGCTAACTCCGGGTTGTATACTCCTTTCCATGCCTTGTAGTGTTACTCTGACCATTCACTTAACTTTGCTCAGGCAACATTTATACCACCATATCAGAAAAGAACAGAATGAAGAGCTGTGTCTGCTGCGCTACATACCCTTTTCTGCTCAGTCCATCTCTTCAGACTAAAGCCTTTGAGTACGGGCTGGAAGCAGCTAGCGTTCCCAAACCCTTAGTCTTGTATCATTCTCTTTCACATAGGAAATTACTAAACCCTCTCTTATCTGTGGCTATGATTCAAAGTATGAGTAATTGGGATAAGAATATTGACTATCTTTAGAGGAAGTCTTGTTAAATAAACTGAGAAGAATCAAACAGCATAGTTTCTATAACATGCCCATTAAAATTGGTTTTCTAGAGATTCGGTTTTCTTTTTTATTATCTCTATTTTAATTTTTTAAATTGAAAGATAAAATCATATATATTTCTCATAAACAGCACTATGTTTTGAAATACATATACATGTGGGATATATATGTATTTCATATATATATATTATAATACATATACAGTGTGGAATATTAAAAATGTCCTTTCATGATGTTGGACCCTAACCTAATTTTTTTCACAAACACCTCATTCTGGGGAAGGAAATGATTTTTTAAAAAACTGAAATAAACACACATTGTAAATATCTAGTGCTGAGATAAGTATGAAGAAAAGGTTAGACGTATGATGAGTCAGAAGCCTGACTATAAAGAAGCTATTATTTTACATAAAACACTCTGTTAAAGGTAAGACACAAACAGTAAGGTCTGCTGGGTAGGAAACTGACTAATGCATTGGAGTGTGACTTTAGATCATGGAGGTCTAAAATCAATGATGTATCTAGCAAAAGTCATTTTTCTGCTTTCAGGGAGAAAATTCTGCTCATAAAAAAATCAAATTTTTTTTAACTTCTTGAGCATCAAGTTCAATTATTCTAAAAACTTAATATCATGTTTTTAATTTTGATTTTTGTTTATTTTTGTACTTTGGAGTATCTTGTCTAAATTTTTTTTTATATTTGTCATATTTAGAGTCTTCACTGAAATCAAGGTGGTTTATCTTCTCAAGTTAAAAGCCTTTCTCTGCTCTTCCTTTAAAATTATTTTAGAAAGTAAAACTTCTAAAGCAAGTCAAAAAAGCTCCCAAGTCTGAAAACAGAGAGATTTCCTATTGGCAACAAAACTTCTGCAAGCATTGCAGGCCAAATCAGGTATCAGAATTTTAGAACTCAAATGGGTCTATAATACTATGTCCTCCAACAAACAGCCATCTTGAGCTGAAAGAGTTATACTCTCAGCCTCATATGACAGAAAAACAGTAAACACAAGCTGAAGTTTGAAAAGAGCATACTGTACTGTGTAAATAAAAAGTTCAAGGAGGATCTGGCTTCAAATATGGAATTCTTTCTCACTCTCTCAAATCCACATCCTCTAGCTTGGGTCCATTTTCAGACAGACTCTTCCAGCCACTATATACCATGCATCTACCCAAGTTTGGGTCCTGTGGGAAAATTAATAAACTCTTTCTCCATTGGCTCTAATTGAAACATGAGACCATCTTTAGCCATTTACTGTGGCCCCAATCACTTAATATCTTGATGTCCTAAACTAGTAATAGATGCCATTGCAAAGCACATGAACTAAGAATAGGAATGAGTGGTTTCCTGAAGTGAAATTGAAGTACTATTAATCAGTTAAGGTAAATACATATGGAATGTAAAAAAAAAAAAAAGATGTCCAATATCTGCAAGATATACTTTCACCACCATCAGAGAAAACTTATTATTGTAAATGTACCTGCTTATCTCTTCTACTTGATACTTCTAATTTATATGGGCTTTGAATACACATAACGCTCCTAGATACTTACCCAGGGGGAAAAAATCATATGTTCATGTAACGACTGGTACATGAATGCTCATAACCATTAATTTGCAATAGCCCAAAACTGCATGCAATTTAATTCCCATTTTTAGATGAATAGATGAGCATATTGTGGTATACCCATACAGTGGAATACGACTTGGCAATAAAAAGAAATTCTTGATATATGCAACAGCAAGGATGAATCTCAAAATAATTACACTGAGTGAAAGAAAAAAGTTTGTACTGAATGATTCTATTTGCATAAAGTTCTTAAAAATACTAACTAATCTATAAAGACAGAAAGCAAAAAGGAGTAATGATTGCCTAAGGAACAGTGGCAGGGTTGGTTGAGTCAGGTAGGAGCTAGGAGGAAAAGTTAAGGAGCTGCACAAGAAAAGTTTTGAGGGTGATTGATATGTTTATGATCTTGATCAGGGACTGGCATTTTTTTTCCTGTAAAGAGTAACATAGTAAATATTTTAGGTTTTGCAGGCCATCTAATTTCTGTTGCAACTACTCAACTTCACCTTTGTAGGACCTATAGAGAAGGCTTTAAAAATGAGTGTGTCCTTTGGGAGGCTGAGGTGAGTGGATTACCTGAGCCCGCGGGTTCGAGACCCGCCTGGGCAGCGAGACCTCATCTCTACAATAAATAAAAAAATCAGCTGGGCGTGGTAGCACATGCCTGTAATTCCAGCTACTTGGAAGGCTAAGGCGGAAGGATCACCAGAGCACAGCAGGTCAAGGCTGCGGTGGCCGGAAGCAGCCACTGCACTCCAGTCTGGGCGACAGAGTGAGACTCCAACTCAAAAAAAAAGAGTGTGTCTGTGTTTTAATAAAACTGTTTACAAAAACAAACAGTGGACAAATTGGGTCTACAGGCCACGGTTTACCAATCCTTGATCTTGATTATGGTGATGGTTTCCCAGAAGTATACATACGTCAAAACTTATCAAATTATAGACTTTAATAACAAGACATTTATTACACATCAATCATACCTCAATGAAGCTATTAAAAAATAAAAACAAAGCAATCATATGTTCCTCATCATGGATTGGATAAAGTCTAATCTCCTTACCATGACATACACACCTTGCTCCTTCCTCCTGTGTACTGGCCTTCTCTATTTCTTCCCTGGAAGATCCATTGCCATTCCCTGGTGAAATGTGCCAGACACACACATCATGCCATCTCAACTCTACAACTCTGTTGGGGCTCTCTCTATTCTCTCTCTTTCTGGAATGACCTGCTCCCACCAACTGTCAAACTCATCCTCTTGCTAGTATTTTAATATTAAACTTGGGCATCCGCACTTCCAGGATGCCTTCCGTATCTTTTTTCTAGTTCCTTGGCCTTTTTACCTTGTGAGATACCTCATCTCTATGCCCCCTTCATAGCCTGTGTGTTCATATATGTACACACATGTACACACTTGTACTATTATAGGATTTGATAATTTTCACATATTTATATATCTAAAATTTTCTCTTACCTACTTAGAATTATTATCCAGTTCTCTGCCTCTACTACTTGATTGGGATCTCCCTGTGTCTATTCTACCTATCATAGTGATCCACACATTAAAAAAAAAAAAAACTCAACAAATCAGCATTGTTGCTATTCTACAGAGAAGAAAACTAGTAGACAGAGAAATCATATATTTAGCCCATAGGCACAAGATTGTAAACAGCTAGCCTTGTACTGGAAAAGAGTTGTACGTCTAACTCAAATGTTCTCTTACTAATTCATGCAAGGTTATTATCGGAAACTCATCTGTATTTCACATTGGTCTTTTACTGACTGTCACTATTCTTTCCTCATCTCCATTTTAGGTATACCAAAATGAAGACTGCCACCAACATCTATATTTTCAACCTTGCTCTGGCAGATGCCTTAGCTACCAGCACCCTGCCTTTCCAGAGTGTCAATTACCTAATGGGAACATGGCCATTTGGAACAATCCTTTGCAAGATCGTAATTTCTATAGATTATTATAACATGTTCACCAGCATATTCACCCTCTGCACCATGAGTGTTGATCGCTACATTGCAGTCTGCCACCCTGTCAAGGCCCTGGATTTCCGTACTCCCCGAAATGCCAAAATTGTCAATGTCTGCAACTGGATCCTCTCTTCAGCCATTGGTCTTCCAGTAATGTTCATGGCAACAACAAAATACAGGCATGGTGAGTGATGTTGAAGGCCTTAAGGATGGAGGGTTCATAGCCCAATATGTTGGTGATGTCATGAGCCAAGTAGATTTTACAAAGTGGTCTGGTACCTTAGTTAAATGGTCATTTTAATTATTCTTTCTAGCAAAACGTCTTTGAATATTTTGAAACAGGAATTTCCCCCTATAATTTTAGGCCCACTATATATTTTAAAGAGAAAATAATCTATTTGTTTCTGATTTTTCTTTATTTACTTCATCAAAATGGTGTGGGAACTAGAACGTAGCTCTTCCAAGAGTAATTAGAACATAAAGCCAAAGAGCATTATATTGAGGCATGTTTTAAAATTTTAAGCGGCTGACTACAAGACAAATGTATCTTTCTAGACTGAATGACCCATCAAAAAAAGGAGTGAAAACATCTATTAGTTGAAGCCTCCTAGAGACTTTGGACAATGACTATATATATATATATATTTTTTTTTTTTTTTTTTGAGTTGGAGTTTCACTCTGTCGCCCAGACTGGAGTGCAGTGGCTGCTCCCGGCACCGCAGCCTCGAGCTGCTGGACTCCTGCGATCCTTCCACCTCAGCCTTCCAAGTAGCTGGAATTACAGGCATGCGCTACCACGCCCGGCTGATTTTTTTTTATTTATTGTAGAAACGAGGTCTTGCTGCCCAGGAAGGTCTTGAACCCGCGGACTCAGGCAATCCACTCACCTCAGCCTCCCAAAGGTGCAGGATTACAGGCTGAGCCACCGAGCCCGGCTCGACAATACTTTTTTACATCAACATAGACCCCATGAAGGTTTTAACTCATGTTGAGAGGCTCATAATTGTTCACTGAATAAAAAATCTAATGAGATGAAAGTAAACAACAAAATGGGAAATTTAGAAAAAAAGAAATATTGCAAGTAACTTTCTTTGAAAATCAAAAGAGAGCTGAGTTTCTTCCACCACAATTTCTTTAAATCTTTCCTTACTGGCTTGTATAGTAATAGCCTTAGCTCAACTTTAGTCAAGTCTACAAATTAGTAAACAAAATGGTAAAATTAATACCTGATGGCATAATTAAATCTTGCTGCTAGTTTTCCCTTTACATTCTTTTTTTTCTAGGTTCCATAGATTGTACACTAACATTCTCTCACCCAACCTGGTACTGGGAAAACCTTCTGAAGATCTGTGTTTTCATCTTTGCCTTCATCATGCCTGTCCTCATCATTACAGTGTGCTATGGACTGATGATCTTACGCCTCAAGAGTGTCCGCATGCTCTCTGGCTCCAAAGAAAAGGACAGGAACCTGAGAAGGATCACCAGGATGGTACTGGTGGTTGTGGCTGTGTTCATCATCTGCTGGACTCCCATTCACATTTATGTCATCATTAAAGCCTTGGTTACAATCCCAGAAACTACTTTCCAGACTGTGTCTTGGCACTTCTGCATTGCTCTAGGTTACACAAACAGTTGCCTGAACCCAGTCCTTTACGCATTTCTGGATGAAAACTTTAAACGATGCTTCAGAGAGTTCTGTATTCCAACTTCATCCACCATTGAGCAACAAAACTCCACTCGAATTCGTCAGAACACCAGAGAACATGCCTCCACGGCCAATACAGTGGATAGGACTAACCATCAGGTATGCAGTTTCTAGAATTAGGTGTATCCATTGGGAATGACATAAACATTATAGAGTTTTGTGTCAATGCATTTTAATCCTTTAGAAGGAAATCAGTAAAAGGAGATTGGGGTTCAACGTAAGAATGGAGGAAAGAGGGGAACAAATTGTGGTCCTAGTATCAGAGAGGAGCTTTGTTATATAAACTGTGCTGTTTATATTTGACTTTACATATTTATATAGATATAAAGATATGCCAAATAGAAACACATAAAATTAAAAATCACTATCTTCTCAGACTTCTCTCCCATGCAAAATTAATGATTTTAACATATTGTGGAAGTGACTCTGATCTAGAATTCTTCTCATCTTGTCCCAGCAGTGTTGTGTATTTCATGGCTATCACTCCAATATCTCTCTCCCATCTCAAAAGCCAGTCCTACTCTGATAGTGTGAATAAGGAGAAAGGACCAGTGCCTTGTCCACTGTGGTCATGAGTGCCAGATATTCTTGGCAAATCAGCATCACAGCAAAGGAGAAAAGATTTTTAAATGGTCATCCCTAACTTTTGTTAAGCTATTAGTTTGTAAATTTTGCTACCTGAACTCTAAAGTGAGTATCAAATAAATATCAAATCATTTACTAATTTTTAGAGTAAATAATTTTTAACACCCATCACACTAGTATCATGAAGAATGACTAGTTTTGAAAGAAATATTTCTGTGCTCAGAGGAATATAAATGGGAGCCTACACAGAAGAGTCAAAATTTACATGCAATATTATAATCACATGAGAACTCACAGGAGGAAAGAGAAAAAGCTGTCGCCAAACTAATATTACCTGGTTAAGTCACTGGTTGGCTAAATTTTACATCTGACCTATTATGTCAATCAAACATATGACATGATTATTAACATTAATTTAAGTAGGTAAATTTTCTCTCTTTTTCAGTTTATAAAATGTTCTTTATTCTGAATTTGTCTTGTTTTCTTTTTTTTTTTACATTTTCTGCTGGAGACCAGCTCCAGCCGGGTTCAGGGTACCCCAAAGATGGAGACGGCATCGGCAATTGGGGGGAAGAAGAGACATGTTCCTTTCTTTAGATTCACTCTGGAGCATGATTCTATCACGGCTCTTAAACTGCTCACCCTTCCTTGCTCTGCCTGTCTCTACAGAGGGGTCCGTGGCACCCTGGGTGAGGTCCTATCCGTACCGAAAAAGAAAAAGAAAGCTTACCTTGAGGCCCCATGTTGGGTGCCACTTGCCGGGGAACAGCTTCAGTCGGGTTCAGGGTACCCCAAAGGTGGAGACGGCATCGGCGATTGGGGGGAAGAAGAGAGAAAGAGAGAGAGAGAGAAAGAAAGAGACTGGATTCCAGTCTAGTGCAGAAGCGATGTGTGTTATTGGGAATTACAATGGGTCTTTTATACACAAAGTCAGATGTAGGAGGGGCATCCCCCACCCACCAGAAACCTTAATCCATGAAAATTTAATCAATGATTGCCTTTAAACCCTTTTCATATGATAATCTTAAAATCCCATAACAAAGGATAACCTAATCTGTGACTGACATATTCTATAAACCTTTTTCATCCTAAACTGATTGATTTATGCCAAGTTAAACAATTCTACAGAAGCGTAAGTATTTACTTTACAAATGAAAGTGGCCCATCCCAGAATGTTTGGAATGTGACCCAGTCCAAAGTTCACAGTGGGCTATCTGCAAGTAACCCAGTCGCATTCTTTCAACAAAATGGCTATCTTCTAAAACTGTATTCTACAATTTACACCTTCAATAAATCCTAAGATCATGACCCAGAAGCCTGTGACCAATACTAAGGCTCTTAGATGTGACACGAGTTTGAATTATAAGTTGTGTGAAAGCCAAAACTGCAGTTTGTGGAAAAATGGGAGCAATGAGCTTCTAAAGTTAGCTTGTGTTCATCCCGGTCTCAGAGTTTTTATGTTTTGAGCTCACAGGAGCTTAATCTGGTTAGTGCTTAGTAGAAAGGGGGAGGAAATGGGATCAATAGCGCCCGAACGCATCCTAGTGGTCTCGGGGTCAACGGCCCTTCCTGATCCCTAACGCTCAGTGGGCCTCCGTGGCCAGCTCCCAACAATTTTTAAAATTTTATTTTAAAGATATGAGGTACAATTCAGGATTAGTGGTCATCATACAAATAAAGTTTGGGTCTCCCTTTGGTCCCCATTTCACCTGGTTTGAGATCAGGTACCCTTATTGATGTTATGCTTCCCACTCCCCTGGCAGTATCCCGCCACTGTCAATCCCTTTCTTATAGTATTATGGTAAATGTTCAGGGTCTGATTATGAGTGAGTAAACTTTCAAATAATGATGCCAGTATCCAAAAATGACAGTCTGCATCGTTTTTTTGTTTTGTTTTATTTTGTTTTTAAACACAGAACTCAAATTCAAACTTCCTATGAAGCAGAAGTTTGAGTCAGAACCTTGGATAAGGTTCCTAAAGTCCAGGGCAGGACTATGGAAAAGATGGATCCAGAAAAATGAATAGGAGGTCAGATCCATGAGGAGTCAGAGGGAGGCCTTGGCCATCACAGTTGCTTCATCTTGCTGCATCTTACTGTCTCTTCACCACTCTCCCCTCCTAACCCTGCTACTGCTACCCAGTCCAGCCCAGGCTTATGCTTTCAAATTGACCCAAGCACTAACATAATATGGTCCAGATGGATCTGTCATAGGGGACATTAATTCTCATATCCCTGATATTCAATAATGCTCAAATGAACACAGGAATTGGCACCCCCTGGAGAGCATGAGGTAATGATGGCAGATCCACTTCCAGTAAAGGGAAAATTATTAACTTATTAGGTCTCACTTCTAATTCCATTTCAGAAATAAATGTCAGAAAGAAATGGCTTCTTATTCTGCTTCTTCTCTCTAGTTTTCTTCCACATCAAGACCTCTAAACCTGCTACTTTTACTACTAAGTATCTCTTCTATTCAGTGGCTATCAAAATCTTGAACATAAGTTTAAAAAGGTAGGGATTTAAATAGATTTTCTCCAACCAGAAATAACATATTAAAGAATACAATTTAAAACTCTGAGTGCTAAGCTAAGGGTGAAATATTTTGCTTTGGAGTAAAATATTTTCATTGGAGCAAAATGATGGCCATTAGAAGTACTGACTCTTTGCCTACCTGTACCTTCCCCTCCTATCAAGCTCTTAAGGGTGTGGCTGTTTTTACCCTGGACCTCTGCTAGGGCCTCTCATCCCACCTAACCTCTCAACCATCCTTCACTTCCCTCATTGTCATGGAAACACAGCTCCCAGACCGTCTGGTGAAGCATTTCTGTTGAGTTAAGCATGGTTGTCCTTCAGTTGCCTGACACTGCCCTTGACTCCCTTCCAAATCCAGCATTGTTACATTAGTGTGGCCCTTGCACAGCCAGATAAAGGAGAAAAGAAGCTAATTGGAGGAGTTCTGTTCTAAGTAACTAAAAGGTTTGCTTTAAAAATACATCCAATTAGGACTTATCTTCATCACTGCTTCGATGAAGCAGCATCGGTGTCAGATAACGGCAGAAACACATTAGCCCTGGAATTGGCTGCTGTCCCAAAATGCCCGGCTGGGAGAGCCGGACACAGAAGAGAGGCTGCCAGGAAAAGAGGAAAAGACATTCTGACATATTTGAAAATTAAGATAAACCAAAGATCTCTTTTGCTAATCTGTACTGATGTGTCATCATTAGAATTAAGACAGTTACACACAGACAACTGGAACAGTATGTAAACTGCTGGTGATAGTTTTTAATACATCAAATATATCAAATTTTCAATGTATTAAATATTCAATACATCAAAATAAGCAAATGATTTGAGTGAGAAATCGAAGACTTTATTTCTATGCCTACAGGACATGTTTGATTAGTTGTACAAATTCAGTATCTAAACAAACTGGTGTTTGGTTGTTGCTGTTTCACATAATGAGTCATCATGTTAGGAAACAGAGCTAATTGGATTTGCATTTAATTTTTCAGCTACTTGTTTGAAGTTTATATTGGTTGTAGATGTTTATGTTCTGCCTATGTATTCATATTTTCTTCTAGAAATATACTCTATATGTCACATTTCAAGTACATTAGTCAACTTCATATTCTGCAGAACAGAGATCCAATATCAAACCTTTCCAGGGTGTCTGTATTCTGACAACTTTCCAGCGGCCATGTCCATAGAGTGCAAAGTGGAGTGGCGATTTGGCAGTTATCAAGGTAATTTGATAAGCCATATGAGAAAATTCTGTGCCCAAAATAAACTTTGAGTCATACTTACACAGTAAAAAACTGCTCAGTCAGTTTTTGCTGCATGACAAATTGCTGCAAAATTTAGTGGCTTGAAGTTTGCAATTTTTTAAGATCCGTCATTTCAACTAAGTTTGGCTAGATCATTCTTTCATTCTTGGTTGGGCTCACCTTGAGGTCACCTGTCAGCTGAGCTGTAAGCTAGTTGATCTACAATGGCCTCAGCAAGAATGGATAGCTCCATGAGGACTATGGTCCTCTAGCCCATTAGCCCAGGCTTGTTCTTACTGTGGTCACAGGTTCTGAGAAAGAGAGAAAAGAGAGCAAAGCTTCTTGAGGTCTAGGGTCAGAAACAGCATGGTCACTTCTATGCTTATTAGAGATCAAATAAAGTCACCATGTCAACTTAGATTCAATGAGTAGGAAAATAGACTCCACCTCTTGCTGATAAGAGCTGCAATCACATAGTAAAGGAATGTGGATCTAAAGAAGGAAACAATTGTGGCCACTTTTGCTAACAATCTACAGTAAGCCCATGTTGCATGGGACAGGCAAAGCTATTCCTTCCTGAGGGCGGGAATCATCTCTGTCTTGCTCCTTCTTCTTATATCGCCAGATCTACCTAGCCAGTGTCTAGCATATTAAAAAAAATACTCCCAAAATATCTGTTAACTGAATCAATAATGAGAGGGTTCGTGGTATTTTAGGAGACTGGTGGGGGGATGGGAATGGCCTCTTC